TGCTATATCTAGAATCTGCTTGTGGATCCCCTATTTAAACTCTCTGATCAACTTAGCACCATCAGATGCTTTCCTCAGAAGAATTCTTGTTACTAAAACCTCTTAAAACTACTTTATCCTAATAATTAATTAATTATATAGGCTTTTAAAAATAGAAACTAGAAAATTTAACTAATCATAAGTTTTGAAAAAATTGGTAAAATTATTTTATTATACAAATTAAAATAATTTAAAAATATATATTGTAAATTCTCGAAATAGTAGGTATAGGCATTAATTCGAAATTTGTACCTCTAAAAATAGCAAATAAGATTCAAAATAATGCTTATGCATGTTTCAAAATAATACACACCACATATAGAATAACTTGTCAAATCTATCAGTTTTTTGGTTTCTTTTTTCTGTTTTTATATATGATCTTTTAACTTTTTTATATATGATCTTTTGGCAATTAAGTTTATTAAAATCAATACTTGATTCAAAATAACACCCATGGCCGTACTCGAAATAGCATACATATAGTCAAAATAGTATACAGATATCTGCTATTCCGAGAATTTACGGTATATATTTTTTTTTATTATTATTTGGCATGTTTTGCTACTATTTTATTAAGATATAAACCAAATAAAAATTACAAGAACTTTTGACTATAGCTATTATTTTTTAACTACAATAAGTGACTTACTTGATTTTTAAAAATCTAGATACAATATCACCTAGTGGCTATTTGTTTTTTTCTGGACTTTTAACTTACTAGAAGTATGAATCTTTCGATTATTGGCCGGTGCTACATGCTGTATTAGTATTATCTTTTTTTTTATATAAAAAAAAGACTAATATAAATTCAAAGGGCAAAACAAAAAAAGAAAAGATACTACAATATCAAAATTTAATCTATCTAATTAAATTAAACCAAAAAATATATAGAGAAAAAAAGAAAAACAAAATAAAAGAAAAAAAATAAAGATAGCACTATTAAACCTATGCTAGATTGTAAAAATCATATAGTATTACTAAATAATCTAGTCAAGCTTTATATTAGTTATTTAAGTCTATATCTAAAATATTAAAAAAAAAAAAACTATCTATTTTTAAATAAAAATTCAAGTTCAAAATTTATATTCTGTTCTATTATGTTTTATCAAAACTTCTAAAATACTATTTAAATATAGTCTTTCTATATAGTTCTTTCAGATCTTCTTTAATATAAGTGGGCATATATAAATTATTACAAGATTTTAATATATAAAACCTAACTAATTTGAGCCAATTTAAATTCTAATCTTAACTCTAACCTTAATAAGTTATAAAATTACTTAAATTAGTTTAAAATATTTAATTTATATATATTATATTTGTATAATAATTATATATACACATCTATACTAAAGATCAACCATTCTTTCTATTATATTCTATATGCTTAACTGAGTTAAAACTCCTGTTACAACCCCTAGGGAGCAGAAAATCAAGTACACTTTTATTCTAAAGTAAACATATATATATATACATGTTTTTCTTTTTTTAGTAGTAATCATTAATATCAATTCTTTGATAGAAGTATGCTGAATTTTCTACTTTTTGTTAAAATTTTGAAAAGCATAGCAAGTGGGGTGATAAAGAGGAGCTTAGTTTGTAGATAGGTTTAAACTTCAATAGAAAGTGTATAAAAAAACTTGTTTGTTATTTCCTTTTCTTTAGACCAACTATTTTCACTTCATTAGCAGAAGCTATGCTTCTATTAAAATTTTTTGTATAAGGATGCTATCTTTTTGCCAATTATCTTGTACAAGAATACTTTTAACTTGCTTGCTAAATATACTGAGAAGTCTGAAAGAAAGAATAAAAATATCTTAACTTTTGTAAAAACTATTATTTATAGCCATCTCTTCTATTTTCTTTAGCAAGTTTCTGTTTTTGTTTAGCCAAAAGTTTGGTTTGAATAATTGTTGGAGAGAGTGTTGTAAAAATAGTTGATTCAAAATTAATAAATTTGTTTAAACAAAATTATTAAATCTGTAAAACTATAGATTTTATAGTAAATCTTAGTAAATCTATTTTTTAAATTATAACATTAAAAGCTTTTAACTATTATATTATAAAAATTTATTAAGTGATCAGACTTTTATTATTAAGTAAAAAAGATTAGGTTTAAATTTTATATCTGATTAATTAAATAGGTTAATTTTTAAAAAATTGTCAAATTCTTTGATTTTTACTTTTGATAGCCTATAAATACTTAAATTTATTTAATTAATTATATTTAATTAAATTTATATAATTGATTTTTAATTAATTAAACTAATTTTTTTTGTTTAATTATTAAATAATAATTTTTTGTTAAGTTAATTTACTAGCTATAATATAATAACAATTAATAACAAATTTTTAACCAGTTCTTTAGATTAGTATCTTGTAATTTATATTTAAACTAAAAACTACAAATCTGATTTAATATTTATAAAAATCTATTTAACAAGCACTAGTCAAAAAGGTGAAATTTGACCCCAAATCAGCCAGAAATTGGCCAAAATTCGACTACAAATCAGTATTTGATTGGCAAATTTTGGGTGAATTTATGTCAAATTGGCCAAAATGATCAACCTAGATTTGATCCAAAAAATATCAGACAAAAAAAAGGTAATTGATTGTTTAAATCGGTAACCGATTATAGATCGAATGCTTAATTTTAACATTCAATCTAAAATCAGATATTGAATTTTGGCTGATTGTTATAAATATTTAGTCAAAATTCAGTATCCGATTTTAGGTTGAATGTTAAAATTAAATATTTAACCTATAATTGGCTACCAATTTAAACAATTAGCCTATAATCAGCTACTGATTTAAACAATCAGCTATCTTTTTTTTGCTTGGTATTTTTTGGATCGAATTTAGGTTGATCATTTTGGCTGATTCGATTTAAATTTGCCCAAAATTTGCCAATCGACTACTGATTTGTGGTCAAATTTTAGCCAATTTCTGGCTGATTTGGGGTCGAATTTTACCTTTTTGGCTAGTGAAACTTATTAACAAATCTACATAATTAATCTTTTTTTTTTTTTTTAATAATTTTTACAAGTTCAAGTTTTAAATTTTAGTAATATTTTTGTAAAATATCAAACACTAATTTATCTAATAGCTTACTGATATTTGATATATATCTTTATCTATTGGCAGAATATCAGCTTCTGATAGGCCTATTAGATATATAATACTTTATTTAAAGTGTTATATATCTGATAAGTCTATCAAAAGCCAATATTCTACCAATAGGTGAAAATATATACCAAATATTGATAAGTTATCAGATAAATTAGTATTCAATATTTTATTGATATCTTATAGAAATGTTACTAAAATTTAAAACTTAAACCTGTGTTTTTAATATATCAATTTAAAAAATATAAAATTTTTTCTTTTGAAATTAAATTTTAATCCATTATCTAATAAAAATTTATAATCCAAGTATCATTATTAAGATATTTATGTTGTTATTCAAGATCTTTTTTTATTTGTCCAAGCTAACCTATGATTAACAAATCTTTTTCTTTTGTTTAAATAGTTCATGATTTTTAAACAATTTTTAACAAGATAAAATCATTTGCCATTAGATGTGAACAAATGTTTGATTTTTCTTTTATCAACCATTTTCATAACATGCTAATTCCAACTCCATATGTTTTTTGAATTTTACTAGTAGGAAGATATATTTGTAGTTTGATCATTAAGCTATTCCAATTTGATTCTATATTTAACATAATACTAATAAATGATCTGCAAGTCTAAACAGAAGAAGAAAATAAAAAAACATAAGATTTTAATTGGCTAAAAAAATTTTTTTAAACAGTTAATATGATTTTTATATTAAATGATGCTAATTACCCCTATATCTAAGGCTCAAAGAGAGAAGAAAATTATGTTAAATATAGTTTTAAATTGGTGCAAACTTGGCAGGAGTGGAAATCATGGTATTATATTTAAATCGTAAATGTTTACTCACCAATCATCGTATGAATTTATGAATAAACAAAAAGACGATGTTAGAAAGTTCTGGTAGGTTATATCATGATATAACAAAAATTACATTCAAAGGAAGAAGTTCATCTGATTGGCTAATGTAAATCAATTGCTCGGGTAACTTACTAACAAAACATCGTCGCAAAAACCATTCATAACTTGAGAATAGTGCCAATATTCACCGTGCAAAAGAATCTAAAAAAGATCTTACTCCCCACAGACTTTGCTTAGAAGACAAAATACACCGACCGTTTATTGGAGAATCTCAATTTATATTGAAAATAAAGATAAGTGGAAACGTTTTTGTTCAAGACTGCCTTATTATATTAGATTTTGAAAAAAAACTTTTATTACTAACTATTGAATTTGAACAAGGATAGGTTTATTGTAAAAGAAGTTCCGGGTTGAATACTTGCTTTGTTCTTGCGTTTTGTTTTAGTCAATTAGCCGTAATAAGTTTTGGTTTACGGAACGTAGATCGTATTAATGAGTTTGGTTTATTAATAATGAATACCACCTTTACTTCGCTTTACGTGTATCGATCTATCTTCTATATATTTGAAATAAATTAATACTTTTGCATATTTATTAATTTGAGCTTCTTTTATACTAAAATTATATAATTTGATTGGTCAATTATCACGGCAATTATCACGGGTGATCACGGGTAGATCCATAAAATTAGCCAATCAGGCGAACTTCTTCCTTTTGAAAATTACATACCTGTAAATTTCGTGTAACGTTACTATGTAAAATCAATCGTCGTGACAGTGAATAAACATTAACCAATCATATAACCATGATAGCTTAATTAGAAAAAAAATATAAATATGTAATTCATAATTAGAAATTAAATCTAATGGATACTTACACTGGCACTATTAAACCTGAGCTGAGGATTCAAGAACTCACTGCGGAAAAAGTCAAATTTATACTTACAAATGTGGATCTGAGGTATTGTTTGTGATTCAGCTACGAGTAAGAGATTTAAAATTCTAATCCTTTGCACATTTCAGCATGGCAAATGCTCTGAGACGCATAATGCTTTCTGAAATAGCTACTATAGGTAAAATATACTATCAGTATCTAATGTATATTTAAACTTCTTATATTGATCCATATTATTTTGTCGGAAAACAGCTATTGATATGGTGGAATTTGAACTAAACACCTCTGTGTTAGCTGACGAATTCATTGCACATCGTTTGGGTTTAATACCATTAGACAGCACTGAGGCAGAAAAAATCAAATATTCCAGGGCAAGTGAAATTTTAGATTTTAAAATATCTTTCTTCTTATTTCTCTCTAGATCATATGTTAAATCCTGATTTTCAAAAAGGAGTGCAATTGTAACGGGGCATGTAAAGAATGTAGTGTTGAATTAAATATGCATGTAAAGTGTACAGAAGAAGATATCACCAAAGATGTTACTAGTCGAGATCTAGTCAGCAGTGATCCACGTTTTACGCCCATTCAAGAAGGTATTTACTCAATTTACGAATCGGCTTTTAATATTGGTTAAATTTTATTGTATCACTCATGATTTAATAATTTAGGACCGAAGGATCCTGGCATTCTGATTGCTAAACTTCGCAAAGGTCAAGAAATTAAAGTGAAATGCATTGCCAAAAAGGTTTGCCAAATATAACTTAAATTTGTTTATGACTTTCGAAAAAGTTATATAAACATACTAAGTGATTCGTTTTAGGGTGTTGCAAAAGAGCATGCTAAATGGAGTCCTTGCGCTGCTGTTGCTTTTGAATATGATCCATTTAATAAACTTAGGCATACAAAATATTGGATCGAAGAAGACGAACAGAGAGAATGGTATGATAAAACATAGAAACAGAGAGAAACAGTATAGCATTAAAACATATTATTATTATTATTTCTATTTAGGCCGGCAAGCAGAAATGCAGCAGAAGATTTTGCGCCAGGAGACGGTGAAGGTATATATAGTCAAACATCTTGATGATTCATTATCTTGCTGACAATGTTACCTATTCAATATTTTCTAGCATTCGATTTCAATGCCAAACCGAATAGATTTTATTTTGAAGTCGAAGTAATTAATATATAAAAAATTCGATAAAATCTTTTACTTTATATATTAACTCTTAATTTACATTTTAGACCATCGGATCTATGAAACCCGAAGATATTGTTATGAACGCTTTTAAAAAGTTGTTAGAAAAAATTTCATCAATTCAGATGGGTATGTCAACAAACGATGGCGTGTCCAGCAGAGATCAACCAAGAGAATCTTATTGAAAGATGAACACTATATATGTGCAGGGTATGTTTCACTTTCATTTCCTAATG